GGGAGGGAGGGAGGGAGGGAGGGAGTTTCTCCTGGTCCAAAAGCATAGCAAATGAGAAAAGGAAAAAGAGCATCGGATGGCAACCCTCTATGCCCGGGGTGATGTGAGTACCCCTGGGATTGTGGGTTTGCTTTAGGTTAAATTACTCCAGTCCATTGGTGGGGAGCTGCACCTGCTGGAAAACGGATCCAGAATCCCATGTTGAGTCACAGGGATGGGCTGCGTCGGTTGCCCTCCCATTTCCGGGAGAGGATTGACAGCTCGTCACGCCATCATGCCAATCTGCCATTTTGTTTTATTTTTGTCTTTTTTACACAATCTGTCATTATATATGGATCTCCCACATATGGCTGGGCTGGACCGTGGAGCCCAGCACAGTGTCATTGTAGATACTAGATACCATCTCATCCCAATCAGGACAGCAGCATCGTTGATTAAAGTTCATTAAACCCGTATTTTTGCATCTTCTGATTTTCACGTGCTTCTGGAGCCAAGACTGTTGCCTTTTCTCTGACCTGCGGCAAGTAACACTCAAACGTGGAAATGTTCCTCAAAAAAAAAAAAAAAAAAAAAAAAAAAAAAAAAAAAACCCACTTACCTAGAAACGCCAAAATTAGGAAAATTGGAGTCTATTACTGAGTTCGGCCGGTGATGCCGTTCCATATAAGTAGTAACCAGCGCCATTAGTTGCTTTTATTATATATATACGTTTTGTGAAAGTCATGTGTTTTGAAACACCTAAAACATGGATTTTCTATAAACGAATGGATCACGAAAAATCTTTATTGCTTGCTATTCCTCTTTTTTTTATCACGTGGGTCAGAATCTGACCTCTACAACAACCTCGACTTAACAAAACAAAGCAAAACAAAAAAAACAAAAAACAAAAGAAAAGACAAACAAAAAGAAAAAACAAACAAAAAGGAAGTACACTACTGGTCCCTTATGCTGGAGTGGAACACACATCTTGGGCGAGGTCCCACTAGCAAAGAGGATTGGACTGAACACCTGAATCTGGACTTGTTTGTGGAAAGGCGCAGAATGTCGAGATTGAAATGCTTTTCCGCATCTCTGCTTAAAACACGTCCAGATTCATGGTATTTGCTAGTGGGACCTCACCCCTTATGGTTGTTGATACACAGATGAGGAGTTCAATCCTGAGGGATCACTCTAATGATATAATCACATTAGGGAATAGATCTCTCGTCAAAGGAAATATATTTTTTTAAACAGCGAAAATGACTGGGTGGTGACGACAGAGTCCTTGGCCCTACCCATGCTGTTGTATAGAGTGCATGATACAGGGGACCATCAGGCTTCACTTCAGGCATATTATCCGAGCTTGCCAGGGGCTAGATGGTCAGCTCTACATCGTCAGGAGGAGTTGGACACACAGCTACCAGCGTCCAACCTCACCAGAATTAGAGTGGTGGGGAGCCAAAACAACATTTTTTCAACGTCCAAACCCTCCACTCCGTTGCACCACCTCCCATTCGACCCAGCAGAATGGGAGTGGACATGGGAGGAATGCCAAAAAATGTCCCTGTGGCAATACACGGTGAAGAAGGGTTATAGAGCAGCACGAAAACCAGTTAAGATCACTGACCAATAACCAAGCTTTGGGAGAGGGACTCCACGCTGGGGCCACAGGACTTCAGGCACTTTCGGTGGTCTGCGTTCTCACACATTCAACCGACTGGCCAGAGAGCCCTTCAGTGGCAAATCATACATAGGTGCCTGCCTACCCCGGATTGGATCACATCTCGGACTGACCTGGAGGAAAAAGGTCTGCTCTCCCCACTGTGCTCTTACTGCTCCAACACATCTCCCAACAGAAGAGCTACCCTGGAGCATTGCTTATTGGATTGCCCCATGGTGCTCCGACTGTGGAGGTGGTGGGATGCAGCATGGCACTATCTTACAGACCACCACCTCCCCTGGGAAGTGTCCACCCTCCTTTTAGGAGCCCCCCCAACAGACGGCGGAGAATGGTCACCATTCATGACCAATCTCTTCACATACTCCAGACTAACCGTGCTCATGGCAGCCTGGAGGATGTGCTGTTCCTATGAAAGAAAACAGCATAACTATGGCTTCATGCAAGCCCGCTCAACGATAATAGAGACGATCTCAGCTTATACACCGGCAGCATGGAAAGAGCTGCAGGGAAAAATGGGTACCGAGCCGGACCATGAGAAAAGACAAAGACTACGGAACAGCCTCACGGAGACATGGACTGACCCAAAACAGAGACTGTGCAGTCCCCCCTACACCCTGCACCTTCCCATCCCCCCCTCCCCCCCCCCTTCCCCCCCCCCTTTCCCCCCCATCTGTCTTTTC